GTTGTTGGCTCATGGTCAATTTCTTGTCCACCAGGACTCCCGGGTCCTTCTCTGCCAAGCTGCTTTCCAGCTGGGTGGCCCCCAGGATGTACTGGCTGTTTCTCCACAGATGCAGGAGTTTGCACTTCCCCTTGTTGAACGAGGTGCTCAGCAGCCCATTTCTCCATCCTGTCACAGTCTCTCTGGATGGCAACATGACCCTCTGGCGTGTCGGTCACTCCTTGCAGTTTTGTGTCATTCGCAAACTTGCTGATGGTACACTCTGCCCTATCATCCAGGTCGTTAAGGCTAGTTACTTACCTTCGAGTGGTCAAACAGACAAGCAGTGCTGTCAGGTTAATACTTGCTTGATGAAACCGTGTTAAGTATGAAGGGGAAAAAAAAAAACACCTAGAAGCATCATAAACCAAACGTGAAGGCCTGTGAGCAAAAGCACAAAGCATGATACTGTTTCCAAAAGTCTTCTTGAGAAAAGCAAAACAGCCACTGTACAAGATGGTATTTTAGTGAATAGTCAGCGGCTTTCTTTGCTGTTTGCTAATATTTTTAAGAACACGATAAGCTGAAAAAAACCCTGCCTTGTAGTTAAGGGTGGTCCTTACCTGGAGAATAGAGGGATTCTTCCACTCACCACCTTTGTAAACCTCACTTGACTCTTTCTTTGTCATTCAGTGGATTGCCTGCTCCAGAAGCAAAATGCAATTGAAGGTGTGCTGCATAGGTAATTACAAACCTCCTACAATACTTGGTACAGTGTAACAAGATACAGCCTGTAGAAGTGTGTTACAACATGCAACAAGTTTCCATAGGGGCCTTTTTGTGTTTCCTTTTAAACAAATGCTTCCTTTTAAACTAAAACTTCTTATAGTTTTCTTGTGTGCCTTTGTAATAGCCCTCCCAGGGGTTTCACTGGCTATCCTCCATATACCCCAGAGGGTAAGGTTGCACTTTAGGATCATCACAAAAAGGGGTCAACTGGAGAAAATTACAATATCCTTTATAAAGTATTTGGTTTGGGGTTTTTTCTTCGTCTTTTCTATCATTTAACAACTAAATACGTTTGTCTTCCAGTATTGTCTTGATAATTAATAAATTATAGCATTTCTGTTTTGCAAGGTATTGTCCTCACTTTGTAAAGTATTGTTGTCTCAAACTTCATTGCATGAAACATATGCATGTGCATGAACAAAGGAATCTGCCAAAATTTTTTCTCTTGAGAGCTTCACCACCCAAAAAGCATTTAAGGTGTCTCTGTCCGTAGTTATTTAATCCGCTTTGTGAGGAATTCAAATCACAGAAGTCTTTGTCTGCGTACAGGCATGTCTTCATCTTAGTGGCACTCCAGTGAAGGGCTTGTGTTACGATAGTTGTGCAGGTGGCTTTTTCCCGGGGTCACTAAAAACTGTCAAATGAGATGATGAACATTGTTCCTTCCTATTGTTAATAAGGATTAAAGACATTACTTACGTGGAAAAGTTTATTTAACTTTTAATACATATGAGTTCAAGGGATACTTTTTTTCTACATGCATTTTTACACTGATACAACTGAAAGCAGTTTTTCACAGAAAGAAAATAAATGTAAGTTTAATTCAGATATAAGTTGCCATTACTTGTAGGCTATATTGCTAAAGAAATAACTACAATGCAATGATATTGTATTCCAAAGCTATCAAAATACTAGTTTGTAGTTCATCTCGAATAGAGGATGGAGGCACTGGTTCCGTCCACTTCTTAATGATTTTGAAGTGCCCTAAAAATGCAGCGGTAATCCTAAATTTGAATCTGATCTTTCAAAGGTAATTTTCCTGTAGAACTTGTTTGTGATTGGCATGCCTTTTGTTGGGAGTGCCTGCATCCAAGTGATCTTTTACAGCCAGAAAATGAGAATAATTGAAGACTGTTCCAAAACTTTTTTTTTCCCTTTTAGTGCACCAAAATAGCAAATAGGTTTTTCTTTATAGAATTCCTCAGTATAAGGAGCTTCTGTAAATCAGCATGAAGTTCATGAACAATTTGCACAGAGGGAACCTGATACATGCTGTTCAGCAGATGTTCCCCATTTCCTACCACTTCTTGTTGGGTAAGGCGGATTCTACAAATGCAGTACCTGGTAGCAAAATTATTCAGCTTCGTTAATTGCGTACTTAAAATCAGGATGCCCACAGTATGGTGGGGTGGAAAGACTGGCTTCCTGCTGCTTTCCAGGCTTCGATTGCTGCCATCATATGTGGTACATAACAGAAGTTGCCCATTTTGGTTACACCTGCGTGTGCTTCTGTAAAGTACTAATAGGACAGTGTAGGAACTGTTTTAGTTTAGAGGTTTATGCATATGTATAGTCACCATTTCTGGTTACTCTGGCGGAGAGCTTTTCTGGTGGGCATGGCATCAGCTCTAGCAGATGATGTTGAAGTAGCATGACAAGACCACAGTGAGAGATACGCCTGAGGCTGCCAAAAAGCTAAATGAGTGACTGCAAGTTTTTGGTGGGGAAGAAAGTCTTAACAGCCATTCCAGCAGAATTCAGTGAGTCGGTGCCTCCAGATCCCAGGCCCTGCTGCCTCCTGTCGTGGTTCCCTCTTGTAATGCTGCTGATGCGTAGCTCCCTGCCTCCCCTCCTCCCCACAGACATGGCCTTCCCCTTTTAAAGCACAGCACTGCTGCCGTTTTGTAGCAGCTGAGAGACACGGCTGGGTGTCCGCGTGCTGTAGGCCCGTATACCCACCTCCCGTGGTGTCAGCAGTCAGTTAACCCTGCAGGCAATGGGCTAACAGAGTATTGCTGGAAGCCAGCGGTGGTCCAAAGGTGAGATCTTGACTCCAGGCAAAATGCCCATTGACATCAGCGAAGGCAGAATCTTGCCGAGAGTGTGCAGTCCAGAGGCTGAAACTGGGAAGCTCTCTCAACGTAACTCTCTGGTTTCCCTTTCCCACTGATATACGTATTATTTTTCAGTTTGTCTTCAGAGCTCAGTAAGAAGCAGCTTTCTGTCCCATGAGAAAGTTTTCAACACACAAAGCATTAGAAAACAACTGTGAGCAAAACAATGCATTAAGAAACAGAGGTAAAAACAAGAATTTTACAGAAAATCTTAGGGTAAGCCATGTATGAAAAGGGTTCAGGAGTGGTCCAGAAAGTCTGACTAGCAGATTTGTAGAAACTATAGCAAGCAGCAGAATTAATAAATAAATGGACAATTAGAGTCATTAGGAAGCACCAGCATTACTTCTTTAGAGAAAAAGTGGTCACAGAAGAGCCAGTGAGCATGTGGATAGGTATAGTCAATGTAGTGCATTTGAATTTTCAAAAGGTTTTGGTAGGATTATCAAAGGTTTTTAAAGAAGCAAAGATGTCTTGTGATTAGAAGGAAAGACTTTTTATGGATTAATCATTACAAAGCAATAAAAATATATGGTGGGTTTATCAGTGGAGAAGAGGTTGCCTGTGAAGTCCCTCAAGGATCTTTGTTGGAATCTGTGCTGTTCAACCTCTACAATAATGACCCAGAAAGAGACTGAATCTGCTGATAATAGAAAATTATTCAAGGAAGGAAAACTGTAAGCTGGCTACAGGGACTTACAGAAGGCTCTTAATTTACTCTGTATTGGGTGAAAAAATGATTAGTTGAATTTCTGTCACTGTATGCTAACTACTGTCCACAAAACCACACAAATTATTTAAATGTGTATACTGATGACCCCCAAATTAGCTATTGTTTTCAGAAAATAGATCTTGATACTGCAGAAACCTCACAAAGCTGTCAGCTCAGTAAGCAATCATGAAAATAAACAAAAAGTTGGGGTTTGATAAGAAGCCACCACTAAATCTATCTACATACATACTGCTGCCTGCAGTTCTGGCTACATTTCAAAAAGGACCTAGTAGAAGGTGAAGGGGTGTAGAGAAAAGCGGCAAACAGGATCAAACGCACCAGAACAACTTCTACGATTTTCCTGTTTGATTAGAAGCTACCACTGGAGTAGTAGAAAGTCAAGAATGGTATGGGGAAGGTGGGAAAGGAACAATTTGCAAATTCTTGTATTTCAAAAACAAGGGAAACATTATCTGTCACCATATCTAAAGTAGAAGTACTTTTTTTTCCCCCGATTTTAATCAATGTGTGACAATGTTGTGAAACTCCTAGCCATAGGATCTTGCAAAGGCTAAAGATAGAGACACAAGAGAAAACTGAAGGTAATCACAAAGGTTAGGTTCAATGTTTGCTGTTAAACACAGTGAACCAGGTGCAACCTCCAGGCCAAAAAAAGCCCTAAATCAGTGTCTGCCAAAAGCTGGGACAGTGCACGAGGGGCAGACCTCTGAACTTGCTCTCCTTCTCCCCTAAGTATTCTTTATCTGACACTGATAGCGGACACCTGCCTGACGCAGCACTGTCTCTTGTTATGTTCTGGATGCTTCTGCTGAAGGGTCAGAGCAAGAGCCTTGGCTGTCCTGCAGGTGGGCTCAGGGATGCTTAGAAGCGTTTTGCTTGGATTTAGGGAGCCTGGCTTCCAACTCTGTGTCCTGGCTGCCTCTGCAAAGAACGCCAATCCAGAACGTTCATGGCCTGAGAACTTTCCTTCTAGGGCACCTGTTGTCATCAAATTGCCATTAAAAGCAATGGGAGGGGGGTTGAGAAAGAGGTGTATAATTGCTTTTATCATCTGTTTCTCCAGTTGTGTCAAGAAGCAAATCCAATGGGAAGGTTTTTAGTCTGTGTCTGTGATAGAGAATAACTTTATTTACTTTACTTACCTTTTTTTAATTTCACTCTTGCCCCTGTTCTTTAAATTGACACACCTTTATTTTTCTTTAAATAGTCTTTATCAAGCAGAATGTTTGATTTATATGTATTTTATATTATTATTTTGCACCTTGTCATATTCTTTGCTGTTCGTACACTGGTACAGAATGTCTTTCTGTTACAGATTATCTGAAAAGGCTGCTCTGCCCTTTCTTCCTTTCATGTTTCATTTTTCTCTCTCTTTGCTTCTGTAGATGACAAAGTCTGCAATGGAGGGATCCAGCCAAACGTGCCTAGTGCCACAACCAAGCCTGTCAGATGGAATACCTCAGCTCAGCCTCCGATTAACAGACGGTGGTTCATGTTGGAAAGAGATGGATTTAACAGATGAAATCTCCTTCATTAACAGTGATGCGTTTTGCTCCAGGTTAGTTCTCCTTTTTTTGGCTGTGTGTGTTTCTTTCTTTGTTCTGTACCTGCACCTCCAGCTCTGAGCATTCTGAGCACTCATTCTTCCATTGATGCTTACAACATCAGTATGCTGGGCTGTAAGGCAATTTAATGTGCATCTCCCTGTTGAAGTCACACGTTCCAAAAGGTTCCTTACAAAGCCAGCTGTGTGCTTTAGTTTGCCTTTCCAATATGCGTTTTCAAGCAAATGAAGGTGGCCTGCTTGGTGAAGGAGTGCAGAGTGGATGGGACTGATCTAAGATGAGACACTAGAAATTACACTGACCACAAGGTGCAACCAAAATGTAAGGTGTCTCCTCTGAGTAATTAAGCGTATTTGATCTGCCCAGTTTAAGTCTTGACAGATGGCTGACTTTATTCTCGTTCTCAATCCAAAAAGGAAGGGGCTTTTGAGGGATTTTATCGTTCTGGCGGGAATGATGGTAGTACTAGCGTTGTACAGAGAGAATAAAAGGGTATCTGTAGAGTATCTATAAGAATATCTCTCTGAATTTATCTATAAGAGTCTATCTGTCTAGAGCATCTATGAGAGTATCTGTCTAAAAGAGTATCTTGAGTTTTGATTGCTGGCACTTTGTCAATGAGGTGAACAGGTAATGGGCAATTTGGTTTCTTGTGAAGTCCTTCCCTGAACATCAGACTGAATTACTGTCTTTTCGTTGTTCTCAGGATATTGAATTGAGTCTGTCATTCCCTTTCTTCTTGTGTCTAGTGCAGCACATGAAGGATTCAGATTACTGTGGGAAATTGCTGTATGCTACTGAAATATGGGGTTGGCCTAATGTGGGAAACAGTGCTATTTACATGTCATGAAACACGACACCGCAGTGTCTCTGCATACCAATGCAGAACACAAAGCAGAGGCAGCGCTGCCAGACACGTAACTGAGTGACTTCACTGTGTAAGCAGGAGACGGGTGCTATTCTCAGCACGAGTGCAGACAGACAGACAGCACTCAGCTTACGAGATGAGTTAGCAAATTACGCACTAACACCAGATTTTGGTTTATAATAATGGTGGGACAAGTAAGGAAATTATACACTAATACCAGATTTTGAATTGTGATGATGGTGTTGAAGCGTAGATATCAAATCCGGTTTCTAGCCCTTGCAGGCACACATGTTCTTTAACTTCTAGCTGTGTCAGCTGTGTGGTTTACTGTCCCCAAGCCTTTCCCCAAAACTCTTACAGCCGGAAGACATCACGTTTGCTTACATGTCTTCATTAATCCAGCTCCTTTTGACCTAGGTGAACAATTACTGAAGCAGGTCAGCTGGCAAAACTGAGAAGGCAAAACAGTTCTACCAGGTAGACAGGGCCAAGCAGGTGGGGCTGGGTCAGAAGTTCCGGCCTCTTGCATTGGTGTGCTGGAGCTTGGCAGAGGCTGTGCCCCTGCCTGTACTTCACTACATGTTGCAAGGTGTAAAGGGAAATGAAGTGCTCGAGAGTTGAAAGAAAGTACTGCTGAGTCTCATATCTGGGAAGGTATGTGTGACTGGCCCCCCAAAAAATGTGATTTTTTTTGTTTTCAGGAGAACATTCTCCAAAAGACTTAATTATTTGCTGTAGGAGTTCATACTTTCCCATCAGTGTGTAATTCCTTAGAAGAGTACTGTTGAGGTAAGGGGCAGTTGGGCCAATACTAGCACAGGACATTAAGCACCAAATGAGATGTGTTTGTAATTAGTCAAAAGCCTAATCCCCATGCTCAGGCCTTGAGATGAAAGATGTCTGCATCTCTTATTTTATCTGGGAAATTAATAAGCTGTAGAAATGAATTCTCTTGTAATCTTGTAATTTTATTCAAGAATGCCCTATTTTCCCATCCTTTATCACACTTCTTGTACATATTTACCTAATTGGGTTGAGCATCTGCACTGCTGTTAGCTTCCAGTACTTTTCTGTCTGTGATCTACTCCTGCTGCTGCTGAAGGAGTAGGTAGTGCTGCTTGTTTTCTACCCAGCTCCAGGATGGCAGGTTGTTGGGCAGGACGGGATGGAGAGGAGGCCCTGTATCACCCATAAGAGGAAGAAGTTAAAGAGATCTCTAGCAGACCGAACACACTTAGGGGACATGTGTCAGATTCCCTGGCATTAATGTAGTGCTCTGATATATCAGGAGTGGTTTTAAACATGTTTTTGGCAGGCTTGTGTCACTCCTGTGTAATCTAAGCTCACAGTGAGATATTACCTGGTATTATCTCAGTGCAAGGCTGTATTAGAAGTTTTCACCTTTTTCAGCAGAAGGACTCTGGCATCTGACCTAGACTATAAAGTGCTTCACAAACACGGTGCTGTTCTGGTTGGGGGGGTAGCAGGTTGTGTCACAAGGTACTAACATTCTTAAATAAATGTTATCATCAATTATGTGTAATTATCAGATATGTTTTAGTCAAATGACTGTATCTGCTCAGCTATCATATGATCTTTGTTAGAAAAGAATAAAGGTTGTTCTTGGCAATGATAATCATTTGCTGTTTCATGAAAATGCTTGTGGTTTGTTCCCTTTCCATGCTCAGATACCATGATATGGGTGGATTAGAAGAGGATGAAGAGCTACACAGAATGGTAGATGCAGAACTCCACCATTAGCAGTCTCACGAGTGTAACAGTGAAGAAGTAACCCCCCACTAAGCCTGTAAGACCCCCCCACCTGCAAGGACTGTAATCTTTAATAAATTTTCAAACAATTTCGTTTGACGCTAGAGCAGAGGTCTTCAGGGAGAAAATTATAGACTTCTGGTTGATTAGTAATTTTTGATACTATTTTAAATACCTTTTAGTATGTGTCTTCATACAGTTGACCTTAAAATGAAGATCTGCATGTAAGTAGCAGCTACAGTTTTGACTATGTCTTCTAGAATGGCTTACCAGTTTTTAAAATATTGAAAGACATGTTAAGCCTCCTTACAGGTATGATATCCCTCATAGGAGGAATTTTTTGAAGGTGCTGCTGTCATTTGAAATACGTGAAATATCAGTTGCAGTCAAAACCTGTTGCAGAGCATAAAATCTGCATCACCTTCTGTTCACAGCTGTTATCTTAAGAAAATGGTATTTGTAAAGTTGATATCTTTTTTTTCTGAACAAAATAGGTGGATTAACTATATGTACCCATAATCCCCCCGAGCACATAATGTATGTGTTCCCTTGGAAGTTGCCTCATTATTATAGCTGTGTGTCAAGGGCAAACTGCTAATTATGCAGTAGCAGAAAAACATACCTGTAATGCAGTCTTTGAGTAAAACCCACAACAGTGGAGAAAGAAAGGAAGGAAGGGGCAGGAGAGAAGAGACTGGTCCTCTGAAAGAAGGATGAAAACCTGCAGGCAATATGCAGCTTGTTACATATTTCTGTGAGGCTTATCTCATTACAAGAGCTCCTGTGCAGATCTTCAGAGCCAAACTCGTGGACCGTGGGAACCGTGTACTTTATCTTTACCTGGTTGAGAGCCTCAAGGCCCACACCACAGACCTTGGGAGCCAGGGAAGGCAGCAGCTTTGGGACTAGGGTGTAGGCAGGAGGGAACAGGGCTCCCTGGGGCCTTACCAGACCCTCAGTGATAGGGAGCTGGGGTGGGCTTGCAGCTCTGTGAAGCTCAAAGTTCCTGTTTGGGTCTCTTTCTTTCTACTATCTAGAAGGAAAAAGTCTGGTTCAAAAGGGGCATATGCAACGGCAGTAGGAACTGGAGTGATTTTGGATGTCACTAGAGGTGCTAAAACTTAATGTGCTTCAAATAAATTCAAATGGATTTTACTTCAGGGACAGGATATATTAAGATTTAAGTGGATGCAAAGGTCGGAGGGCCTCTCACAAGCAGTGCTCTTAGCCTTTCATTCTAAACTTCATATACAAGCAAAGACCAGGGATAGCCTTCCGGTAGGAGGGAAAATGCTTTCTGCAGCCAAAATGTGAGGCAGGGGATTGTTGATGGTCAGCAGAAATGGCTTTCCTGATGCTAGCTCAGAGGTGCGTGCTGTCCGCAGACTTTTGTTGTCACCATCTTGGATCTTTTGCCCGGCAAAGGGGGCTGGAATACGCTTTGCTGTATATGGCTGTTCTAGCACTTGCTGGAGCTGCACCTCTTTGCAGCCCTGGTACTGTTTTGAAGGAGGATCCCTCAGTGGGAGGGCACCCTCCTGTTTGAGGTGCTGTTAGGCTCAGTGCGTGTTCCCTAGGTGGAAATAATGATCAAAGGATATGATCGATACTGGGTGACCTTTCTTGCTAGCAGTGGTCAGGCACTGGGGAATGGGTGCCTGTATGGCAGCCAAACTTTGTGAAAAACATTGTGTGGTTCCTGAGAGCCAAAGCTTAGAGCAACAACAGCAGTTGTTCCGTAAGCAAGCCGCCTTCTCCAGTACTTTCTAGCTGTGTCTTTGTGTGCCAAAGATCATAAATTCCTGTTTGTGGCTGCAGTCACAGCTGCAATGAGATTTGCCAGCGCAGATACCCCGTGCTGGCTTTCTAACATGTGCGTGTTCTCAAAAAGAAGGTTTGTTTATATCAACCTTTTGTTCACTAAGATCCTTATATCTGGCCTATGTCCTGCAAATAAAGGGATCGCATGCTGTAGTAGCCTCCCTAAAATAAGGGGTGGGTTAATGTACCCTGCTGCACCCTCTTCTTAATCGCACTGCATGTTCTTGCTGTTAATTGTTGAGATATGAAAACACACGTATTTGTACACTGAGAAGTTTGTGCTTACTATAAACACTTTCCCTATTTGTTGGCTTTCCTTTTAGCAGCTGCGGTTTTAAACCAAGGCAATCCAAAACTTACCATTATCCTCTGTCACGTGATAAGAACTTGGGTGCCTGTTGTTGCCAGAACAAATCAAGCAGGGGGGCTGGTGGTGTTTGCTTAGCTGACTATTTTTGTTTAGGTTTGGGGTTTTTTTGTTTTTGAAGTCTGTCATGGCAGTACATTCAGTCCCTATCCAAAGTAATAATTTGC